CATGGTACTGCCGTCCCGGGCAGGTGAGGAGGAGGGCCCTCCCACCCGAGTGGCTTCTGGGAGGTGCCGCCACCACCACCCACCCACGGCTTTTCCCGGGCACAGGATGGCAAACATTTCCACGTGGCTGGCAGGGATCCCCTGACCTGCGGCCACTCTGAGGCACCCTGGCCTAGGGCCTGGTGCGAGGGGGCTGCGAAGCACCCGCTCTGCATATGAGCCCCGCTCGATGGCGCGCCTCAAGCCTGCCACTTCAGGGGGGTCCAGCGGGGACAGAGGCAAGCCGAGCTGGCCCCCACACCCAGGCTGGAGCAGGAGCCAACGTGGGCCGGGTGCACTGCAGACCGCACAGGCCGGGCCACCAACTGCCACAATTACATGGGCGGTAAGTCGGACCCGGTTCTTGAGGCCTATAAACGGTGTTCTTCCCTCTGCTCTGGACGAAGCTGAGACAGATCAAGCAGGGTCTCTGCGCAGTTAAAATGTGGCAGACCCCACCAGTCCTCAGCAAATGACGCTCCCCTGGGCCCTTCCTCAACTGTCACCTCCTGATCCCCCAGCTGCCAACAGACTCCTCCCCGGGAGAAGAGCGAAGGAAGGCGAGAGGCAGAGAGGTGGGGAGCACAGGGAGTCCCTGAAGGCCACCTGCCTTACCCTCCACCGAAGTTTGGCCCTAGGTAACCCGGCAGGAGGGTCTGAGGGCAGGGGAGCCTGGGAGGGGAGGCCAGGGGGAGGCAGAGGAGAGAAAGCAGGAGGGGAGGCAGGCGAGATCTTCATAAAGCTCAGTCCCCAAGGCCCAAAGCACCAGCGGCCACACGGCTGCTGAACAATGCAGTTTTGAATTCAATTAAAGCGATTATCTGTTGTGCCAAATAAATTGTGTACAGCATATATCCTGCGGCACTTTACACCTCCGGGCTCATTATTCCCTAACTGTTTCCTCCTGTTTATGCGTTCTCAAATTAAATTGCTGATAATATGCGCCAAAATAAAAAATGAGCACACCTTGTCCCAAGAAAATTGATTCTCCCTTTTCCTGAACTGGCGATTGCCAGGTTTTATATACTCTGTTCCTGGTGATCATTAGTAATTCAATTTTCTTTTTATTAGCACCCTTATCTGCTGAGCAATATAGTGGCAGAGCTGACCTCTTTCGCACGGGTAAATGTTTAAAATCTTTTCACTGATTAATTTTGCCAGTTAAGAAAAAGAGGAGAAATGGCCCGGCTCTTAGCCATCACAATGAATAAAGCTTAATGTTGATTGTGATGGAATTTCTAATGCCAGGGAAATTGATTGAACGCGGCAATTACACTGCAATAGTAACTCAAGGGAGATGGGATCGCTTTCTCCTGGCCGTAGCCTTTTGGTTATTTAAAACAATCCAATTTGCAAGGATAATTATGTATTAGTGTTTTATCTGCCACTTGAAATGAACAGGGGAGTTTCGATACTGGCCCAGCATTAGCAGGTTATTGCTGCAAATTACTTGATATCTGCTTTCTTTCACATAAAGAGGAAATTAGGCAATCAATTACCAGAAAAAGGTGGACGGAGGAATAAGAGGGGCAAGTACGCCCTCTGCTGGCCACCGGCATTCGGCAGGGCTGAAAAAGGGACCTGGTGGGGGCCGCAGCTTCTGGAAGCCTGGCCCTTCTCCTTACTCCATCCTCGCCCAGGCCAGGAGCCCACAAGGGCTCAGGCCCCTCCCCTACGCTGCTCCAAGGAAGTCTGGACCTGAGCCAACGGTCTGAGTTGGGGAAAAGGGGAAGAGAAGCCTCAGAGCAGCCTGTCCACCACAGGGAGGCACTGCGGGGTGGGGGTGGGGGGGCGAGCCCTGAGCCCCAGAGCCCAGGGTCTGCACCCCAAATGCCCACAGCAGTAAATGGAAACTTGTGTGTGAGGCAGCTCGCAGTTGGCCTGGGGACAGGCAGGTGGAGCAGGGGGCGGAGGGAGACAGGAGGGAAGCTTCTGCAGGAAGCACCTGCAGAAGAAGGTGCTTGGGGGAGCCGCCCGCTGACCCCCTGGTAGCACTGGACCCAGGGAAATGCTGTTCCCACCACAGCCGCCGCAGCCAGTCTCCGGGCCTCGGGGTGGCAGGTCTGGAGCCACGTGCCCAGAGTTTCAGTCCCGTGCACAAGCATCTTCCCTGAGCTTCCCGCCCACTTGTGAGAATGAGGACCCCACTCCCTGACCTTGCCACAGGCTCTTCCTGGCTCACTGCCCCCTCCAGGCCTGCCGGACATCCCTGGGGCCCCCAGTACAGCCGCCTCACACCCCCGAGCGTCTTCATGCAGGTCCCAAGTCACCGCTGCCCTGCTGAGGCCTGCTCCACCCACCCGCCATCAGGTCCCGCCTTCCCTGCAGCCTGGGGGGCGGGGGCGGGGGGGGGCGTCCCAGCCTCAGGGATGCCAGCCACACAGGCCCCCTCCCTGCTCCCGCAGCACAACACGGAGCTCCTCCCCACCCGTGCCCTCCACCTGCAGACGGGCACCGCGCTTACGCCTCCTCCCCTCACGCAGCTCTCAGTCTGGACAGCCCCTCCTCAGAGACACCAGCTGCTTGGCCAAAGCTGAACACGCATCCCAACGGCTCTCCACCACCTCACCCAGTGTGTCCTTTTCCTCTGAGCACGTTCACCACCTGAGAGGAGCTTTTCAGCTAGTTTACCACACCCGGGCGGCTGCCGGTCCTCAGGACGACGACGCGGCCCATGGGAGCCAGCACGCTGCCCCGCACAGAGGCCCTCGATGCACACCCACCGGATGGTGGGGGTGATGGCAAGGGATAAACGGGGAGATGCGGGACGGTAGGGGACACAGGAATGGAGAACCGATGGGGGACGGGCGAGTCGGGGACGGAGGGTAAGAGGGGGTGGTGGATAAACGGATAGAAGGTGGGTGAGGGGTGGATGGACAGACAGGCAAGCGGACGAACAGACAGATAGATGGGTGGACGGCTGGAGGGGATGGATCAGTGAGTGAGCAGAAGCCTTCTCCAAGCCTCTCCCCCAGCAGGACTCTCCCCCACCCAGCCCTGCACTTCCTGCCAGGGAGGTGGGAGCAAGGGTCTTCCTCTAACCACAGCTAACCCATCACCTCCTTGAGGAGACAGAAGCGAGAAGCCTGAAGGCAGGGCTGTGTCAGCCCCTCAGCTCAGCCCCGCCCCCTGCCCAAAGCCCTTCTCCTCCTCCCACGCAGCACTGCGCACCCTACCAGCGGGGGGCAGCCTCCGTGTCCTCAGCCCGCACTTGGTACTGCTCGAGGCCCAGAGAACCGGTCATCCCAGGCCCGATAAGCAAGGTAGGCAAGCACGGCCTGAGCCTGAGGCAGCGCTCCAGGGCTGACCCACGCAGACACCGCCTCCCCCCCAAATCCGTAGACCCAGCACCCCCATCAGCCCCTCGCTCGTCCAGGCCGGGCTCCACCTGGCAGCCACAGTGGGCGTCCTACAACAATCTGGCCTGGGTCACTATTGAGGGTGCCAGCTCCAGGCCATGGCCCCAGGACGCTGCCTAGGTGGCCAGTGCCCTTCTCTCCCCGGCGGCCCCGCAGCCAGCAGCTGGGGTAGAAAGGCCGCTGCAGGCCGGTCGGTCCAGTCGGGTCCAGTCCAGCTAAGCCAGCCCCGCCCCCGCCCCCAGGCGCACAGGGCCCTCCTGCTGGGAGCAGGCAGCAGCACACTGCAGCTCACCCACCACCTGCCTGGCAGGAAGGCTCAGCTTTGTGTAGGGGCCCCGTGTTGCCCGCCCCCTGCCTCATCTACAGAGGGGTCTGCAGCTGCGGGCCCCCAGTGCCTGAATGGGAGAAGTTGTGGATGCGCAGAGCGCTCCTTCCTCCAGGGTGCCTGCTACGCGGGATGGCAACGGTCTGGCTCAGGCCCGTCCGTCCCCGCACCAGGCTCCTTGGCGACAGGGAAGGCAGAGGCCTGGCCAGGCCACAGTCAAGGCCAGCCCCGCTGGACTCCTGGGAAGGCAACAAAGCTACACCAAGGGCACGGGCTGAAGAGGTCAAAGTGTGCCCACGTGAGATGTCCCACAAACCCCCTCAGTGCCCACCCCTGCATTAGGACACCATGCACCCGGGAGACCAGAGGGTGCAGAGAAGCCCAGGGCCCCGGCCTCTTGTGACCCGGCCCCACTCAACACCTGGCTCAACGAACACCTGCTTCCAGGCCCAGCAAAGGGGGGTGACGCCCGGCAGACGCTCACTGGGGCTCCGGGAAGCCAGCTCTCCCGGGCACTCTGGGCCCCAAGAAGGCAGGGCAGGAAGCAGGGAGCCCGCAGGCCGGCCAGGGCCAGGGCAGCCCTCCCCGAGGGCCACGTCTGGGGCCCAAATCACTCTGTGCACTCACTCCTACCGACGGAGGGCAGCTTGTGCACAGAGGACCCAGAAAGCTGAGACCAGCCGGGCACACCTCGGTCACAGCCAGCCACCAGGAACCACAGCCACGGTCCCCGACTCCCCTCAGCCTCCATTCAGAGCAAGAATCGGGCATAGCCGTGGCTACTCAGGTCATTCCCAGCCTGCGATGGGGACATCCTTCCCCAAGCCGCCTCATACCACACCCGTTACTCAAGTTTCACTGAAATACCACCACAGTGAGGCCCCTGGCCTGGCCACCTGGTCTCCAACTGCCCCGACGCAGTCTCCTCGCCGCAAGTCACTATGAAAACGTCTCAGTGTCCCATGGGCTAGGATGCAGGCCTCAGGAGAGCAGAAGGGACCACCCGTGCCCCATGCCTCCGCGACCCCCAGCACCCGGAGTGGGACGCAAAGGGGCCTGTGGACACAGCCACCCGCCACAGCTGGCCCTGAGCACCGTCCCAGCGTGACGGCTTATCTGTGGGGACAGATGTCCATCCGAACTCTGGCCCAAGCCACCCACCGCGCCCCAGGCCGAGCCTCCTCAGGACAGGGAAGGTGGCCGCCGCAGACCACAGAGAGGCAGGGCTCACAGCCCGGGCTCGGCGCACTCCTCGGAGCCCCTCCTCCCGGGCGTACCTTCCTTGGTGGGGAGGTGGGCCCGGCCAGGAGGCGTGCAGCACAGCCGGTGCCTGGTGACCTGTGTCAGGCCCTTGTTGGGGGTCTTCTTCAGGACGGGACTGCCTTTCCCCCGGAGGGCCTGCCTCCGCCGCAGGCTCAACTGGCTCTTGGCAGCGGCGGCAGGCAGGGGTGGGTTCTTCTTGTCACCAGGGAGGCTGCAGAGACAAAAGAGCAGGCAGCTCCCAATGGGCTCCCCCAGCGGAGAGGCTCTCCCCATCCACCCCTGCCCACCCAGACTCCAGCACCGGGGAATCACCCCGGGGAGGCAGTCCGCCCCGGGCGGGGGAGGGGGGGGCCGCCAGCCTGCCCAGCTCATCAGCAGTGGCTGCCTGACGGCCTCTACCCTGCCCCTGCCCTCCTCTTCCCCTTCAAAGCCCAGAGCCGAGGCAGAGGGAGAGCAGCCCCCAACCCTTGACCCCTACCCGGTGTATCTGCACCGGGGCCCCTGCGCCTCCCTCGGCCAGATGAACTCCCCAATGGGGCTGGGGCGGCGCTAAGGAGCCATGGCAGAGGGGAGCTGCCACCAGTCTCCCCAGCCACCTCTTCAGGATGGGCTACTGCTCACGCTCCCCTGTCCACACCAGCTCAAACAGGGGGCGGCCACTGTGCTGAAAAGGCAGGAGAGCCCACATAACTTGGCACGTGTCTGGGAGAGCAGGGCCAAGGACCAAGGTCAGACAGCAGGAAGGACCCCCAAGGGGATCAGTGAGAATGATTCTGCCCTTGCAGTTAACAGCTGGCGTGACGAAGCCCGACGCCAAACCCAGCCCTAAGCCACGATGTCATTTTTTAGCCTCTTCACAATCCTTGAGCGTGGAGGGCCAGGAAAATGACACGTGTTCAGTGAGACAGTGACTCACCTGGTCACTTGGCTGCCGAGGGGGCAGACCTCTCCCCGATGCTCCCTGGGTTTGCGCACCCAAAGCCTGGCCTGGGTACCAAGCATCATCCACAAACCCTGTGGGCCCAGAAAAGCTGCCCCAGCAGCCTCTGGTCTCTCACCAACAGGAACCGGGGAGGGGAGCCCCTGTTACCCCAGGAACCCTGGCCTCATTCGCACTGGGCACCTCAGCACCGCCACTTATACCTCATTTCCTCCGCTCTGCAGGTGGGCCCTCCCACGCGCTCTGCACACCCAACGGGAAGCCGCCAGGCCCAGGCCGGCCCCCTGCCTGCGCAGACAGGACCCTGGGGCGCTGCCAGGAGCACCCACCTAGCACCTCCTCGCCTCCTGACAATCTTGGTGCGGCTCTTCACTTTGTACGCCGAGAGTGGGGTCTCGCTGAAAAGGGGCTTCGAGCCACCGGGTCCCACTCCTGGCCTGTCCCCTGCGGGGGACCTAGACGGGACTGGAGAGAGATGGGAGGCCTGGTCCTCGCTGCCAGCTGCAGGCTGCCAACGAAAGGAGGAGGAGGAGGAGGCCGAGGGGCTGGACGCCTTCCACTTGTACTTGCTGGGGCAGGGCCCGAGCTCCGAGGACGCGGCCGACCTCCTGGGCCTGGCTTCCGGAGCGGCCCTGAGCTGCGGCTTCTCCGCCTGTTCTGCCGTGCCAGAGGGGGCCTTGCACGCGGCCTCCGCGGCTGCTCTGGGACTGAGGGCCCTGCGAGCGGCCCGCGGGCTCCTTGCTGAAGCAGCCACCCACTTGTAGTTGTTCTTCCGGAACTTGCTGGTCCGACAGGACATGAGCAGGGAGGCCTCCCGGGCCTGCCTGGGTCCAGAAGCTGGTCTGGCTGGGCCTGCCACCAAGCCCGAGGACGCGGGCTGATCTGGGTGGCCAGCGTTCACTCTCCCGTCTCCAAGGAGCTGGGCGGCACCACTGGCCACGGAGTGTGAGCCCGCCTTCCGGCCCAGAGCCGCGCCACTGCGCTGGGCCAGGCTAGAGGACAGGAAGCGCGCCTTGACCGCAACTGCGCTCTCGCTGACAGTCCGCCGGGGCTCTGAGGGGCTGTCACTCATGCTGCTCACAGACTTCACCACGCGAGGCTTGCCAGGCTCCTTCTGGCAGACCAGAAGGGGGTCCTCTGTATCGCAGCTTCCCTTGGCTCTTCCTGGCCTTGAGGGCTGCCGGTGTCCACCAGGGGGCTCGCCCTCACCCTCCTGGGGCCTGCGGTTACTCCAGGGGGGGTCCTCATATTCTTCCAAGGAACCCCGGGAGACCCCTGTGGTGCTGGCTGAGCCCGGTTTTGATGGTGGCTTGATTTTGATGACCATGTTCTGATCCGAACTCAGCTGGACCTGCCTCTCCAGGACACACTGCGGGGGCTCAGGACCCTGACTGCCCCCAGCCCTGAGAGGTGGCTGCGCAGCACCGTCACCGGGCGGCTCTGAGGCTCCGGGGGGGCGATTCACAAGGGAGTATTTCTTGCGCCATGCAGGCCCGCGGCTCAGGGAGAAGCCCCTCCGGCCGGGCCGGGGGCAGCTGGTGCTGAAGGCCCGGCTGCTGCCGTAGGCCGGTGGCTGCCAGCAGGGAGCAGCTGACGTGCCCGGGGCAGGGGCATTGCCATGGAGGTTTTTGTAGTCGTCAATCAGACCTGAGGAGGCAGAATCGCAGGTCCAATTAACCAGAGGCTGACAGTAAATCAGCCCACAGTCCAGCCCCAGGGAGGCGCATCGGCTGACAAGACACCGCACAGACACCCCCCCCCCCCCCCGTGAGCCCCGCCCTGGGGCCCCAGGACGGTTCAGCCCGAACTCCCTCGGCCCGTCCTTTCCCTGAGCCCCCCATCCGCCTGTTTAGTCCTAGCTCCAGCTGCTCATACGGAAAACGCACTCCCGGGGCCTCGTGCGCCCGGCTCGTCAGGGGTGTTACGCAGGGTCCACACGCTCTGAGGCAAAGCGTGACGCGATATGAAGAGACCAGCAAGGCCCCACGCTCTAACACCCCAACGAGGGGTCCAGTCAGCCACAGAGGCCCTCTGGCCTGCCCGCGGCCAGAAAGGGGGCAGGAGTGCTCCTGACTAAGCCCCCTGCCTGGCACACAGGACAGTGAGTGTAAGACAAGCGACGCTCCTGAGCGCTCCACAGGTGACCGGAATGTCACGCCATCCCCCTCTACGAGGAGAAGAAGCCTGATGGTCTGGAGCCCCAGCAGTGGATAGTGGTCCCGGGGGCAGGAGGCCTAGAGGCCTCAGCTGGAGCACCCCAAGGGGTTACGCCTCAACCAACAACCCAGCAGCTAGCCCCTCCATCACAACACTTCCCCACCGCGAGTCCTGTCCCCAGGCCCAGAGAAAGCCATGTCCAGACGTGGGGACACCCAGGTCAGGTGTGACAGAAGCCCCTGGCAGGCTGGACCAGCCCGCTTGGACTCTCCCACACACACACTTTCCAAGTCCTGAAGTCTTCTTTTTATGGGAGTAACTTTAAATGGGGAGATTTTTTCAGTACAAAAATTTCAACTTGGGTGTAAAAACTGAAAAGATGGGCAACAGGGCTGGCGAGTGGGGGCCTAGAGCATCAAGGAGACTGTGGCTGTATAGAAGGAAGGAGCCAAAACGAGGCGTCCGGGGGCTCTGCCGCGCGGCACCTGGACAAGCCCTCCACCCCACGGGCACCCGGAGCGAGAGGGCGCCGAGGAAGTGCCCGCCCGTGGGGGTTGGGGGAGACGCCTCCCGCCGGTTACTAAGCGACGGCCCCGCCGCCACCCGCCGCAGCGCTTGACGGACCCGCAGTACCCGTCTGGAGAAACGGGCAAGGGGCTGACCCCAGCCGGCCGGGATGCCCTCCCGGGTTCCCCACCGCCTCCCCGACCCTACCCACGTCCCCACCCGACACGACCTGGCCGTCGAGACCGCGGGCGCAGAGCGACCGCCTCCGGGGAGGCGGGCAGTGGGCCGCCGTGAGGTAAGGAAGAGTAAAGAAAGGGACGCGCGACCCGGGCCCGACCCGACCCGACCCACCCTGCAGGAGACGGATCTGTCGCCGTAATTGCTCCTTTTCCTCCATCTCCGGAGTCCGCGACGCCCGGCCAGGCCCCCGAGACGTCATCGCCGCGCGCCTGTTTCCCTGCGGGCGGGGCGGGGCCCGCGTAGGCTCCGAGACTGCGCACTGCAGCTAGGCCAGGGCGTTGGCCGGGCTGCGAGGAACGCGCCGTCGTCCTAGCAACGCCGGCGGAAAGGCGGGGTCACGCACGCGCAGAGCAAGGGGCGGGGCGACGTCAGTAAGGCGCGTGGGCGAGTGGCGCAGGCGCGTCGGGACCGGAGCCGGCCGGAAGTGGCCGGTGTCAGACCTAGGGCGGCCGCAGCGGCGGGCTCTCGTCCCCTGCGGGGCCGGGTGAGGAGCCGAAGTCCGGACCCCTCTTCGGCCGCAGCGCAGCGCCTTCTCCGCGTGGGACGAGGCTGCGGAGGGACCTGGAGGCTCGAGCGCCCAAGAGGCTCTCGGTTAACGCTGCGGGCGGGCCAAGGCCGGAGGGAGACGAGCCCGTGGGTGGGGAAGCTCTGAAAACGTGGAGGACTTCGGCTTCTCAGCGGGGACAAGTGCAAAACGCGTCCAAACGCTGTTCGCTGCAGGGGGGTGCAAAGGGGTGCAGCTGCTGGGGAGAGCAACCTGGACGTCCCTCAAAAAGGCCAACTTTTGGGGCACCCGGGTGGCTTAGTCGGTTAAGCGTCAGACTTTCGCTAAGGTCAAGATCTCGCGGTTCGTGGGTTCGAGCCCCGCGTCGGGCTCTGTGCTGACTGCCAGCTCAGAGCCTGGAGCCCGTTTCAGTCTGTGACTCCCTCTCTCTCTGACCCTCCCCTGCTCACGCTGTCTCTCTCTCTCTCTCTCTCTCCTAGAAATAAATAAAAATATTAAAAAAAAAAAAAAGGCCAACTTTTGTTGCCCGTCAGAGCCGGCAGTCCCACCCTGCGTGCCGACGGGGTGGACGCGAGCACCCACACGCCGCTCCGCGAAGCGCTGTTTGCAGCGGGCAGCGTGGGGATGAACCTGGGGACGAACGGAGGGACAGCGTGGTCTGTCCTCACCGTGGACTGTGATCCGGCCTCGGAGAGGGATGTGCCACCCACTGATCCGTGCTAGACACGGCCCACCTCCAAAACGCTTTGCTAAGTAAAATAAACCGGTCACAAAGGGTCAACTATCGTTATGACTCCACTTATGTGAAGTATGTAGACTAGGCAAGTTTTTAGAGACAGAAAGTAGGTTAGAGGCGACCAAGGGCCGTGGGAAGGAAGAACGGAGAGTCAAAACTCTGGGCACAGGGTTTCTGTTGGGAATGATGAAAAAGTTTTGGAAAGAACTGATGGCTGCACAATACTGTGAGTGTACTTGATGCCACTGAATTGGACAGTTAGAAATAGTTGCGACGGCTTGTATAGTTTTTTTATACCACGATGAAATGGACAGAATGTATTTGCCAACGGCCTGCACAATAGCAAGTGTTACAGGAAGGTCTTCGGGCTGAAAGGAAATGATACGACCTGGAAACGTCTATGTGAAGAAAGAGGACAGGAAATGGAAGATTTATTAGTAAATTGTAATTCTCACTTCTTATTTCCTTTAAAAGAAGTAGTTGGAGGGGCACCTGGGTGGCTCAGTTGGTTAAGCATCTGGCCTCGGTTGGATCATGATCTCCTGGTTCGTGGATTCAAGCCCTGCGTCCAGCACTATGCGGATAGCCTCGAACCTGGAGCCTGCTCCGGATTCTTCATCTCACTCTCCCTGTGCCCCTCCCCTGCTCGCACTCTGTGTCTCAAAAATAAACATTAAAAAAAGTATTAAAAGAAGTTATGATAAAAATATGAATAATAATAAATAACGTGTCTCGGGTGCTCCCTGGTGCTCACAACTGAAATCGCAGTGAGTGCGGGGAGGAGTGGAGTAACCCCCGCACACAGATGGCAGGCAATTTGTGAAGCGTTTCATTAAAACAACGTATGGTGGGTTTACCCTGTGTGTGGAAGTAAAACGTATGCCAGTGATGACGCGAGGGACTCACAAGCGCCACGTCTGCTTCGGGTGAGAGCCTGCCTCCCGCCTCCCAGGTTGGCACCTGAAGCCCCTCCGGGCATGGGTGCCATCCCCCGTCACGCGCAGCCACAGGCGCCAGGAGGCACCGGCCGCCTCCGCACTCAGGCTGCAGGACTCACGGCAGAGCCCCAGCCGGGAGTCCCTCCCAACCCAGATGTCTTTGAGGAGAGGTAGAATCTATCTGGAACCATCTTTGCTTCCTGTACCTTTTCTGGTCCCTTTCCAATGCCACCCAGTCCCGTCCACGCTGTCTTCCCCTCCTCTGCTCCCACCGCCACCATCCTTGCCGAACTCTTAACTGGAGCTTCCGTGTCTCCCTCTCCCACAAGGCAGCCAGAGGCGCCATGGGGACCGGCTCAGGGCAACTTACGTGCCGGGGCGGGTGTAAAGTCCTGAGGCCTTGGCAAAGCTCCGAGGGCAGGGAAGGGGGTTCTCGGGGATTGCGGGAGACGGAACCCCCCGTGAGGGAGCCTAGCAAGCACGCTCGGACTCTTGCCCTGGTTGCTTCTCTGGCGAATCCGACAGCCATCACCCCGTGAGTGAGTCAGGGCCAGCCTGATGCAGGATGGACAGCACGTGTCTGGTCAGTGCCCCTGACCGTCAGCCAAACACGTGGGAGGGGGAGTTGCCAGCTAATGGCAAAGTCGTGAGCCCAGGTGACAGCACATGGAGCAGGGACGATCAGTCCAGCTGCGTCCAGCCTAAACGGCGCAATGTAGGGCAGCTGACGCACTTACGGGCAAGTCGGCAGATACTGTCTACACCCCGAGGGCGTGGGGTGATTCCTTACACAGCGCAAACGGACAGGTTTGTGGGTCGAGCGCTGAGCCTGCTGCGGGCCGGGTGGCTGCTCCCCGGCTCTGTCCCGGGGTGCGGACAGGACAGCCCCGCCTCCTGCCGCGAGGTACAGGGTTTGGAGAGCTGTCAGTGGGATGTGAGTGCTGTCACAGTTAACTTACGAAAACTGACCACGACAGTTACAAAGCTTGTTGCTGCCTGGGCTGCCTGGGGGTTAAGCCTCCGACTTGGCTCAGGTCATGACCTCGTGGTTCGTGGCTCGCAAGTTGAGCCGTGCTCTGTGCTGACAGCTCGGAGCCTGGAGCCTGCTTCCGATTCTGTGTCTCTCTCCCTCTGCCCTGCCTCCGCTCGCGCTCCATCTGTCTCTCTTTCAAAAGTAAATAAACAGCAAAAATAATAATAATAATAATAAAACTGGTTGACACCCATCGAACTGGCAAAAATGAAAACAATCTGCCTTCGGTCTTGGCCGGGGTGGCGGCGGGGGGGGGGGGCACTACTTGCCCTGGACGCGGGCAGCGCCTCTGAAGGGCGATCTGCAATGTGTGCACAGAGACCTCGGGTACTTTTTTAGGAATTCCCCTCAAATGCAACAGGCCGCGCGTTCTCTCTGAAGACCGACAAGAGTATTTAGCTCGTTTATAGCCCTTCCCGCCTCCCAGGCCCCCCCCCCCGTCGTAAAACGGTAGCACATCCCGTTTCCATGACAACCATCTTCAGTGTCCCTTCCGTTCTTCCAGGTGAGTCCCCTCCGGTCCCAGGCCTGGCAGGGCTGCCGCTCCCTCCCCACCCCCACCCCTCCCGGCCTGGCTGCTCGGTGCCCGTCCCTCCTGACTCGCATTCCTCTAGCTGACCCGCCACACCCACACCCCTGCGGCCTCTCTCCTGTCCCACAGGGCTGCAGGGCTGCGGGGCTGCGGGGCTGCGGCAGCGGAGGATTTCCGGGACGCACATCCAGCTAACAAGCCAGCTTCGGGAGTCAGACGTCCCGGTTGCTGGAAGTCCGTTGGGAAGGGCTTCTCCATCTTTCCGCACAAGGCTGCCTCCTCCCCCCAACCCCCTGCCCCTGGGCTCCTCCACTCCTCCCACAGCCGGCTCCCCGCCCTCCTCTTAGGCAGTTTCCTCTGTGCCTCGGCCCAGGCAGGCTTCTTCCTCCTCGCCCGCCGTGGACACAGCTCGGAAGGCTACGCCCGGCCAGGAGCACCACCTCTCCAAAGGGGCTAGGGACTTCAATTTAAAAATTATTTTTAAATTTTTTAATGTTTTATTTATTTCTGAGAGAAAGTGTGAGCAGCAGACGGTCAGAGAGAGAGAGAGGGAGACACAGAATCCGAAACAGGCTCCAGGCTCTGAGCTGGCTGTCAGCACAGAGCCTGACATGGGGCTCGAACCCACGAACCGTGAACTCATGACCTGAGCCGAAGTTGGACGCTTAACCAACTGAGACACCCAGGCGCCCCTAATTTTTTTTAATGTTTATTACCTTTTGAGGGAGAGAGCAAGTGTGAGCAGAATGCGAGTGGGGGAGGGGCAGAGAGAGAGGGAGACACAGGATCTGAAACAGGCTCCAGGCTCCGTCCGAGCTGTCAGCACAGAGCCGGATGCGGGGCTCGAACCCACAGATCGTGAGATCATGACCCGAGCCGAAGTCGGGCGCTTAACATACTGAGCCACCAAGGGGCCCAAAAAGTTTATTTATTTTGAGAGAGAGAGAGAAAGAGAGAGAGAGCAAGTAGGGGAGAGGTGGAGAGAAAGAGGAGGGAGAGGATAGGAAGCACGCGCAGTGCCGGATGCGGGGCTCAAGCTCAAACCTGGAGAGCGAGCTAGGGGGGTAGAGGGGCTACCACGTATCCACAGCAAATGCACTTTTATCAGGGAATATGCACAACATGTCAGGTCTGCCCTGCATCAGCAGCCTCCACCTTCCACCAACCCCACCCGCACCTCCACCGCTCTGGGGGCCCCCTCCCCACCCCCCCCCCCCGCTTGTGCCTCCTCCTTCCCTCCAGATCGGCAGGCAGGTGGGAGTCAGGTGACGTGACTCACGGGGCCCTCAGGTGGGAAGAGGTGGTTGGCAGGCTGGGAGGCTCCCCCATGGGTGCCCCCAAGCCTTCCATCCCAGAGGGAAGGGAGCGGGAAGCTGCCGGAGACCCGCTCCAGCCGGCCCAGGGGCCCCTGAAGGATGGACGGTGTCGGTGAGAGACAGTGAGAGAGCCCCGAGAGTCTTTCTGATCACCAGGCAGGCATCTCCGTGCTGACTGGGTCAGTGTATGGGGAACAGCACAGAAGTGTCATTCTGATGATAAATTCTTTGATCAGTAAAAATTTTCCAGAACATTGATATGCATAAGTGTTTGGGGAAGGAGGGTATCTTTAGCACTCAATACAAACAAGGTAATGCTTTATTTTTTTATTTTTTCTGAGAGAGAGAGACAGCATGAAGGGGGGGGAGGGGTCAGAGAGAGAGAGAGAGAGAGCGGAAGACACAGAATCCGAAACAGGCTCCAGGCTCTGAGCTGGCTGTGAGCACAGAGCCTGACGCTGGGCTCGAACCCACAAACCGAACCGTGAGATCATGACCTGAGCCGACGAAGTTGGAAGCTCAACCCACGGAGCCACCCAGGCGCCCCATGCCCCAGGAGATAACGCTTTTAGCATAGCAAAGGCAAAGGTCAGTGCTTTATGAGCAGGGGTCAATAGCCTGTTAATTGCTTAAGGGGAAGTATTGAGAAAAACCGGATCCTCAGGAAGCACAACGTCTGCGCCCATAACCACAAGAGAAGTTCCTTCAAGTTCCTTCACAAGGTGCAATCAGCAGATCGGGCCAGAATTAGTCGCTGCCGATTCCAATCAACAAGGTGCTTCGGTCGGTGCCGAGCAGAACACTTGAGTGGGGGCAGACGTTGGCCGTCGCAAGCCGGCCTTAACCTCACACGCGTGTTCCCAGCCACTGAGGTCAGAACGGCTGCCACCAGGAAGCTCTCAAAGACAGCTGCCTTCAAGGCCCTGTGGCCCTCGGCCGCACACGGCAGCACAAGCCCTCGCTGCAAACCATGACCCTCAGACTCTCTGAGCTAGATCCTTCCGGGAGAAGAGTGTTTGGCCTGCTGCTCCCTGGACGGCGGGGCGTTTCCACGAGGCCGTCAGGGGCCGGGACGGAGGAGCCTCTCCGGACAGCCCTCCAGCCCCCCCCCCCCAGCGCCCATTCCAGCGGTGCTCCTCCCAGCCAGGGCCCAGGGGGGCGGCGGGGCTCAAAACACAAAAAGCAAGAGCAAGGGGGGGGTGCTTCCTCCCACAGAGGCCCAGTGCGGGGAGCCGGTTCTGTGACCCCGATGCCAGCAGGCAGAAAGCTCGGCAGCAGCGGACTCCGAAAGGGCGCAGCCGCTGTGGACCCCAGGCCGTTGCAGACGCGCCCCCGCGTCCACAGCTAGCGACCGGGTGGCCAGGAGGGCTGCCCCGCGGGGGACTCAGTGCCCCCACGGCTGGGACTGTTGGGACTTCCCTGCAGCGTTTAGCGCTCTCCGGGCCCTGCCGGGTGGGTCCCGAACCCTCCCTGATCGTGGCTACTCTTCCAGGCCAGGGCTCCCGGTGGCCCCGAGGGCGAGGGCGGGGCACAGCCACTGCACCCGGCAGAAGGGGTGCTGGTGGGAGGAGGGGGAGCTGGGCTTCGGAGGCGTCGACGCCCGAGTGTCCCCGGAAGGTCAGCAGCAGGGGACAGCCTGGTGGCGCACCAAACCTGGCACCCCTCGCCCCTGCCCCATGGAGCCTGCCGGCCACCCCACCCCCACCCGCCCCTGCCTGCAACGCAGCTGCCTCGGGACTCCCTCCCCAAGCCCGGGCTCCCGCTCCCTCCACCTCCAACCATCCCTCAGGGTTGTCTCTGGGATCTTAGCGACCTGCCACGTCTTCGCCAGGGGCCAGGCACTCCAGGGCACCCCTAGGGCAGGGCACCTCCAAGGCACAGTACCCCCAGGGCGGGACACCCCCAGGACGCGGTACCCCCAGGGCAGGGTTTGCATGGCCACCTCTTCGCCAGCCGTTTTCCCCTGGTCCCAGTGAGCGAGCTCCACCTTTCTTGCACCTTATCGGCCACCCAGCCACAAGTGGCCTCCCCGGCTCCCGGTCTGGTCACTGCTTGCCACCAGGGACACACTGTCCACCTTAGCCTCGGACCCCAGGGCCTGCGCACACCTTGGCCAGGGCAGCCTTACTTCCCTAATGTGACATAGAGGGGGCTTGAGAAAGACATATGGCGCCCCAGAGTCCCTGGCCCTCAGAATGTCCTGGCGGCCACCCCTTTCCTCCAGAGTAGGAGTCAGGGAGGGGACAGGCTGCGGGCCATCCCTCCCTCCCTTCCCACATTCCGTCCCCAGCAGGCTCGCCCCCACCCTCTCAGGCCGACCTCTGTCCTCCATGAAGAGTCATGACCGGGGTCATGGCACTGGGCCTGGCATCAGCCTCTTGCTTTGGTTATCGCTAAAGAGCTGAAAGTCTGGCCCTAATGTGGCAGCCCTGCCCGCTGAGCCCAGCCACACCCCGCCGCGCCCCACCCCTCCTGAGTGCTGTACTGCCCTGAGCAGAAGGTTGCCCAGGGCTGTGTGGCCCACGCACTGCCCCTCTGGCCTGAGGACGGGCCTGCCTGGGTCCTCTGCCCCAGCGCGGCGGCGGGGGGCGGAGGGGGCTGCCCACAGGAGCAGGGAAGACGCAGGCTGAGCTCCAGGAGAGAGACCCCCCGCGTAGGGCAGCCCTGCAGCATCAATGCCACGGGCCTCGCGTGGGCCCCGCAGCCCCCCAACACAAGCACACACATCACCCACAAAAATGGACAGACACAAATACAGATGCACACCTACAGGTGATGAGGTTCAGGGGTGACGGGGGGGGAGGGGGGCGGAGTCCACCGCCAAGAAAGAATTCCTGAAGACCTCTTTGGTGCAAAAAGGTGATTTTATGAAAGCGCGGGGACCGGAGAGCTGCCCTGGGGTTGTGAACCGTGGCTCCCTGTGTGCTGTGAAGTTGGGGGAGCAAAGTCAAATGTGAGGCATCCAGAGGGACTTGGCTTTGCTCTCTAGGACAATAGGGAGTTGCTCCCGAGAAACTACACTCTGTACTCGCCTCAAGTTATCTGTCAATGGGCTGCGGCTCATGAGGACGTTTAGTGTCACCTGCCATTTCCTTTCTGCCTCTGTTCCCATCTCACTCTGGAGGGCGATGTTGGAGCCCTGGGAAGCTGAGTCTACAGGGTTTAGGAGATGAGGCCGCTGATAAGACGGCCTTTTTCTTGTAATTTACTAAGATATTTGTAAGCTGGTGGAGACTCAGGTCCGCGGGACTGTGATCCATTTGTTCTTTATTTTTTTAATGTTTACTTTTGGGGGGGGAGGGGCAGAGAGAGGGAGACACAGAATCCGAGGCAGGCCCCAGGCTCTGATGTGGGGCTTGAACTCATGAACCGTGAGATCATGACCTGAGCTGAAGTCGAGCACTTAACGGAAGGAGCCACTCATGTGCCCCAACCATTCGTTTTCTCTCCTGTCCTCTGCCCTTGGGCAGCCAGGAGTGCCTGAGGAATGTGACCCACGTCCCACCTGGGGCGGGGGCCAGCTTGGGCCCGGCCCTCAGCCTGCCTTGTGCGCCCTCATCAAGAGCCACGGGTGCACGCACAAGCAGCACGTTATGACACAGGTACGTGTGAGCACACAGGCACGCTGCACGAACACGTGGAGACATGCACCCACGCATACGCACACGTGTGAACACACACGCGCTCAGCCTTACCCGGGCTCCTGGAGCCTCCGGCTACCACTACCAGCAAGAAGACCCTGTCTACACCAGCAAACGGGCTTTAGGGGCTGGACTGGAGCTGCGAGCCCCACAGCAAGCTGAAGACGTGCCCACTGCCCCAGGGGCCCACAGCCAGCGCAGCCGAGGGCCTGCCCTGTAGGCTCCCCGCGGGGAGACCCTGCCCCCCCACACCCCTGGAGGGGAGGCTCAGGGGTTGGTGTGCTGACCTAGTGAAAAAATGTGGTAGAGCCTTCAGGGTGAGTCTCGGGCCCTGGCTGGGCTCCTGAGTGTGGGCAAGAGCCCAGAGGCAGGATGTGGGGGAGGGGGGAGCTCCCACGGCCTCGCACTGGCTGTGGTTCACATGTGACCCAGGACAGGAAGGTCACTGAGGAGTGCCCTCGTGACCGGCCTCGGTGTCCTTACTGCACTGCAGATTTCCTCTCTAACCACTTACTGAGACGTAATTCACATAGCACACAATCCACCCATTTGAAATACAAAGCTCCACGGGCTCTGGCGCATTCAGAGTTGTGAAACCATCAGCACAGCTGACTTCGGAACCTCTAGTCACCCCCACGTACCTATCAGTCGTCCCTGCCCCTTCTCCGGCCCCCAGCCCCGGGCAGCCGGTCGCCCCCTTCCCGTCCGCGGATGCCTCCCGGGCGCCGATCACGGACCGGATGTGTGTCCGCTGCCTCTGTCGGCTGCGCTCACCTTCCTTTTTTTTTTCTTTTAACGTTTGTTTTTGAGAGAGAGATGCTGCATCACACACCCCCAGCGGCGTGCGGGGCTGCAGCCCGGCCGCAGTCCCCAGCTCGAGGACTCTTCAGGGTCCCCCTGGGCTGAGGCGGCGTCGCCGGTGCGGTGCGATGTGCACCCTCTGCTGGCTAACGATGCGAGCCGCTTTCCAGCGCTTGCTGTCCGTTTGCACATCTTCCCCAGAGAAATGTCTGACGGGCCCTTTGCCATGGCCCGTGTTGTATGACAGAAACCACGAGAGGTGTTGCCGGCTGCAGGTGGAGGCCGTGGGCTGCCACGTGGCCACTGGCTTGCCCCACTCTGGGCGGGCAGAGGGGCCCCACGGGGTGTGCTGCCTGGGCCACTTCCGGGAGCGCCGGCCAGCCTCCCCGGGCCACAGTTTCACTTTTGACTCTGGGACTCGCTCAGACGCTCCCGGCACAGCCCGCAGCGAGGCCTGCTGCACGTCGTGGGCCCAGAGCCTGAGGCGACCGGCGACCCTCAAGGTGAGCTGTGCCCCACACCCCGTGTCCTTCCTGCTGGCTGGGCTTGGGGGCGGGGGGAGGGGGCTCACACTATGTGTGGGGGGTGTCGGCCCTTTGGGGAGGCCCCCTGGTCCCAGCACGCTCCCAGGACTCCCCACAAGCCCAGACCAGCTTGGGGAAGCCCGAGGCCTCTGGGAAGGCAGCCCCCTCACCAGCCTGGGCCTGGGCCTGACTCCGGGTGGGCCGTTCCAGTCACCCCCCCTTGGCCTACAGCCAGTTCAGACCGTCGCTGAGGCTCGGAGACTTCCTGCCCACCGGGGCTCCTCTGTCTGGAGCCCAGGACTCCTGGGTCCTGGGTCAGGCCTGCTTTGGCCACCGACCCCTGAAGCCTCAGCCTTGGACGCTGGGCCCAGAACAAGCCCTAGAGGCGCACGCGGGAGCTGGGGATGCTCCGGCCAGGCCCTGCTGTGGGCCCTGAGCCAAGTGCCCAGGAACTTGGTGGCTCCTGTTTCTTCCCCTGCCTGCGAACACCTTGGCCACGGAGACAGCTGCTGCAGCAGAGGGAGCGTCGGCCTGGGGTTCACCCTGAGGCCCCTGCCATGCCCTCCTTCGTGGCTGCTTTTCAGGAGTGGCTCCAAGCCCTGCTGGGCTGAAGCGTCAGAGGCCTCTGCGGGTGGCGGAGGGCTGCCCCGCCCTGCCCCTCCCCAGCACTGAGTGTCCCCGGGCTCTCCCGGGCATCACGTGAGCACTCCGGCCATAGTACAGATGTGTGAATGGCCTGAGTCCCATTGAGGGCCGCGAATGCCGCCCCAGCCGAGAGGCGCTCACCCTCCCCACAGAGAGACGGTCTGAGCGGATGACAGTGCTTGGGAGGGACCGCGCTGGGACCTCTCCACCTGTCAGGGCCTCCCACGACCGCCTGGGGAGGAAAAGGGCTCCCTGTCGAAGGAGGCAACCGAGTACCGACTTGCCCCCGCGCCCCTCCCGCTCTTCCAGCCCTGATCGCCCAACCCCTGAGCCATCTGCCCCGTCGGGAGCATGCCATCCGTCTTTGAGGGCGTGGCCAAGAGCGTGGTCCGGGAGGTGGACCCCAAAGGCGGGCTCACCGTCGTGGACAGCCTGCGGAGTTCCACCAGCTTCCAGCCCTACTGCCTGCTGGCCAGGAAGCTCTCCAGCTCGTGGTTCTGGAAACCGCGCTACAAGTGTCTCAACCTGTCCATCAGGGACATTCTGGAACCTGACGCCCCGGAACCAGGTACCCTGCCTGGCACTGAGTCAGGGCCTTGGGCAGGAGGGGAGTGAACGGGCCAGCCTGCTGCCTGCTCTGGGCATCGGGCTGTCCACTTTTAAGGGACAGAGCACGACCTCTGCCCGGGGGGGAAGGGGCCAGCTGTTAGGACGGGGCCCTCAGCTCTGCTCTGGCTCCAGATGTGGAACGTGTTACCCCTATCCACATCGAAGACCACGTGGACAGAAAGGTGGAGGTTGATATGGAGGTGAATGCACTGGGGCAGGGCAAGATCACAGGCGGGGCAGCGGTGTTGGCCAGAACCAGAACCTCCATGAACGTGTGCACGCTGCGAGTGCCCCCCAGCACCTGGGAGGCCATGAGCAAAGAGAGGTGAGCGGGGGGCGGGGGCGGAGAGGGGCTGCCAACCTTAAGCAGCCCCTGGGTCACCATCTTGGGGCATCAGGAGCCACAGGGTGTCTGTGCCGGGCCAAGGGGTCAGCCAAGGGGTCAGCACAGTCAGGGTGGGGTAGTCCCCTGGGGCACGCGGAGCCCGCAGAGGGGACAGGGCAGCACCCTGAGGGCCAGTGAGGTCAGACAGAGCCCCAGGCCGCTGTGAAGAAGCCAGGCTGCAGGGGTGGAGCCAAGGGCCACGGGCACCTCCAGGGTTCTGCGGGTGTCCACGGATCACCCCTGGATTTGGTCCCTCCCCCCACTGTGGCCCATCCCCCCAAACACTGTTGGGGGCCCCCAGGGAAAGAACGACGGGGCTCCCGCGCCCGGGAACGTGCAGAGCCCCCGGGCTCCTGGGCCACGTGAGCTCCCCACCGGCACGAAGGCTGACGTCCCAGGAGGGGAGTTGGTGCCATGGCCGAGAGGGCAGGACGCGCCCCCAGAGCTCCCAGACCTGCCCCCACCTCCCCCACCCCGCCATAGGCGCCTGCGGCGGCCGGAGCACCAGGTCCTGCAGCAGCTGCAGCGCTGTGGGAGTGACCTGTTCGTGGTGACAGAGGTGCTGCAGACGCAGGAGGAGGTGGAGGTCACCCGGGCCCAGAAGCAGGAGGGCTCTGGCCAATTCACCCTGCCCGGAGTCCTACGCATGCAGGTGCGTGGCGTGGCCGTGGGTAGGCAGGGGCCGGGGAGGCGGGCCGGGTGCCCCCACGGGCCTGGCCGGCTAAGAAGGGAATGTCAGTCGCCTGGTTGAGAAGCAGGAAAGCAGACCAGGAAAACCGGGTCTCCTTTGAAATGTCAGGGCTGAGAACGGCCGGACCACCTGTGGATCAGCATCTTTCCCACTCTGTACATGCTTACCTCCCTTCCCGTGACGTCTACACTGCCCCCGTCACGCCGGCCCCCCGCCTGCACGTCACTACCCTGGTCGTACTGACCCCCCGACAATTTATGAGCGTGCTTTGTTCCTGCTTTCGAAACTACACGTTCCTTTCCCCTGCGCCCTTTTTTTTAATGTTGTTTTAAAGATTACATTTCAATGTTTTTTATGTTTTATTTATTTCTGAGAGAGAGAGACAGAGAGAGAGACAGGGTGAGCAGGGGAGGGTCAGGGAGAGAAGGAGATACGGAATCTGAAGCAGCTCCAGGCTCTGAGCTGTCAGCACAGAGCCCGACGCGGGGCTTGAACCCACGAACCGTGAGATCATGACCTGAGCCGAAGTCGGAGGCTTAACCCACTGAGCCCCCAGGTGCCCCATCCCCTGCGCCCTTGAGTTGTACTGATAAGATTCTCAATAAGAAGTGAAGAGCTTTGCTCGGGGCTGTCGCCCCAGCCCTCCTCTCTTGGACTCAAGGGTCTGGAGTGACGTGTCACCTGCCGCCCCAGAGTGTGCTGGGCAAACCCGGCACCCCCAGGCAGACCCCCAGCACTCACAACCAGCCCACGCACCCCCACGGTGCAGAGCTCACTCCTGAGCCCGTACCCATCCCCCAGGGCCAGGGCAAGGGCCACGTGAACCAGAAGAAGACAGTCACCATCCCCTCTGGCAGCACCCTTGCATTCCAGGCAGCCTTGTTGGTCATTGGCCCTGACTGGGGTGAGTGGGGACCAAGGTGATTTGGGGGGGCCCAGGCTCCATGGCAGAGAAGCAGGAGGCACAGGAAGGGACACCGGCTGCCTGAGGTCTGGCTGCACAGCTTCCTGGCTGGGGTGGCCAAGGACCCCCGTGCTGGGAGGGCTTGGGGCACACGGGGACGACTGTGCAGGGTGGCTCTGGGGGGTGAGGGAGAGGCTGGGGTCACTGGCTGACCTGCCCCCCCCACCTGGCACCCAGAGATCTACCACTTCCCGTGCAAGAACCAGAGGACCTTCCCACTGCCCGAGAAAGGTGAGGACCGTGGACCCTCCGCCCAGGCGGGGCAGCAGACCAGCGGCTGAAGCCTTGCGTGCAGCACAGCTCAGCCGGGGCACTCCAGAGGGCCGGGCGCGTGGGCACATGCACACGGGCGCACACACGCGTGTACACGTGCAAGCACGTGTGCACACACACACACACATGTGCGGCGCACGCTAATACATACTCACACACTCACACGTACACAAGTGCTCGCACGCGCACACAGGCTGTAAGGCAACACACAGCGGCCTCGGCCTGGCACATCCCGACTCCCCGCCCTGGGCTCCCAGTGCCGGGGTGGCGGTGGTGGACTGCGGGGCTCCAGGGCAGGCTTCAGCCCCGCCTGACCCGGGGGGCCCGCGCCCCGCACTGACCCGCCTGCCCTAAGCAGACCGCAAGCCCGCGAGCAGCGCGGGCCTCCTGTCTCACATATCTCTCAGCTACTTCAAGATGCAGCTCCCGTCTACACCCATGGACATGGTGTCGGGTCAGTACCTTCTTGATGACCCTTAGAACACTTGGGGGGTTCCCCTTTGCCCCCTAGGAGTCTGCCCTCCCTGACCAGGGCTCTCTGGGGCCCTGGGGGTTTCCCTCTCTCCACAGATGGGGACATTGAGGACCAGATCCCAGTCACTGAGGACTTCCAGGGGCTGCAGGTGGAGGTGATGGTCCACGCCGACGGCCTGAGGGGCCTGTCCAGGGAACTGTGCAGGCGGATACTAGCAGGGCTGGCGCAGGCGCTGCGGGAAGAGCCGGCCCTAGAGACCCTCGAGGAGGCGGTGAGCAGCCTGGGGGGGCAGGTCGGGTGGGTGGGACCCGCGCCCGCCCGTCGGGCTCACCCGCCCCACTGGTGTGTCCCCAGATGGAGCAGGGCCTGTGCTGTGGGCAGGTGACGCCCCCCGAGGTCCCGGGGGGCGCCATCGTGGAGTGCCTGGTGCGCTCCTCTGGAGAGGTGGAGAAAGACCTCGCCCGCCCCATCCTCTACCTCACGCAAGCACTGACTGGTGAGAGGCTCCTGGGGGTGGGGCAGGTGGGGGGCAGGGATACGGGCTTCCAGAACCCCCTCTTACCTGAAGTCTCTCCCCAGAGCTGAGCGAAACCCAGCGCGTACTGCTCACAGAGGCGCTGGAGGCGGGGGCCCTGTCCAGGCAGCTCCAGCTGGTGAGAGAGCGCAGGCGGCGGGGGGGGGGGACCTGTGGGGGG